ATTTGTTTTTTTATAAATTTTTATGCAAATTTAACCATGATTTTACTTTAAACCACAATTTTTTTATCCGTGTTTTTTTTTTCTTACTTTTTATTAAATTAAGTTTTATAATGCTAGTTAGAGGCTTTTATTTAAGAAAAAAAAAGACATTTAAATTGACCATTGTTGATTTTTTGGTATTACAAGATTATTTGTACATTACTGGTTAACTTTTAAGTACAAATAACAGACAAGAAATTTTTAAGAAGGTAACAAAGAAGTAAACAGAAAAACAGTTATTTTAACATTATTCTGTTTACATTTAAATGCATGGTCAGCTCCCGTTTTGTTAAAAAATAAAAATTAAGTGAACCTTCTTCCCCAAATATACGGAAAACTTGAATTTTAATTTTTAAAAATAACCATTTTTAATTTTTCAATTTAAAATCAATAGTGTAATCTAGACTAAATATTTACCGTATTTTAAAAACATATAACGGTTTTTTTTTAAGAATCTAGAAACCATTATGATCTTAAGAATGTAAGCAGCCGTAATGGAAAAGTTTTTTACTTTAAAAATTTACGATAATAAAACTTTAATAGTTCACAACAGTGAAATTTTAGAATGCACAGTTGTAAGTATACAATACTATAATTTAGCTAGGTATATTTAGTACATACTACAGTACAACATTTAAAAACTAATTTAATAATGTTCCAATATAAAGACATCATAATTGTTAGCACTTTTTCGTTTCAACTATGGGATCCCTTGAACACAGCAATTTTGTTAAGCAATTTAATACTCTTCGCGAGCCAAAGCATTATTTTAAGATTGGTTTTCGTTTTAAGAAAAAATAAAATGTTCCCTCGAAAACGTGGTAGATCATCCATTTCTCCGGAAGATTGAATTTTTTTTTTGTGGGTAAAAAGAAATTATGAACATTTTAGCAGAGAAAAAAGGAATCATATATAAGGTATGACCCGCAACAAAGGGTTAGTATATAATTTGTTATCACAAAGCCATTTCTTAAAGCGCATTCAAATTGTATCTGAAGAAATCCATAAAATCTAAATAACAATACTTTCGGTCAGATCACATAATGAACTTGATTACGTAAGTTTAAAAAAAGCCAATCAAGTGATTTCGTGCACGTCTCGCTTTCTTAAGGTTTTTTAAATTTCTCTTAATATAAAATTTGAAATTTAATAAATTTTTAACAAAAATTTACTAAAAACCTATAATTAATATTTATTTTAATCTAAAGAAGCGGCTATGCATAAGTCGCTAATATGGAAAATTAAGGAATAAAATTTCGTTCTTTGCTTATATGCCTACAAATAAACTTCAATGCCATTATTAACAAAAAAAAAAAATTTAATCAAAAAATTCATTTTAATTTTTCAATGCTTAAGGATTTTTTTTTTAAATATATTTTAATATTGGAAAATCGATGCGTCCAGAATAAGGAACATCACTGTATAAGGCTATATGCTTAGGATTAACTTTAAAATTAAAAAAGTTCATAAGTTTTTCAATTAAAATGAAGACAACAAAAATTTTCGATTACCGCGTATTTTTGTTTTAATCATCTTTCATAAAATTTCAATATTTTTTCCAAATACCCTTTGCAATCTCTAGTTATAGAATACTCTTTATAATCAGCAGGAAGTATAGATTTTGATGTTATATTAAAATAAATAGAAAATAATAATATCAAGAAAAATTGTAGAATACACACATACTGCATTGTGCATACAAAGCTGTACAAGTATATAGCTTATATAAAATGTTAGCGGAACACTAAATTTTAAGGCTAAACCAACATTTTTTTTTCAATTTTGCATTGAATTTTCATCAAGTTTCAAGTTAAAAACTACTAAAAAAAATAATATTTTTTTTTCCATATCTATAGGTAATAATAATAATTGGGTTAGAAAAATATTATATGCGTTAGTATGAGTATAATAATAACGAAAGGATGGAAAAAATTTTAGAACATTTATGATAAAAATTAGAAAATTATATTAAGAACAAGGCTGAAATGTGTACACAGAAAATTAAATAAAATGATTAGTAAAGTAGCACTTTTCCCTTCAGCAAGTCAAAATACTGCTTTCTAAAATTGCATACATTTAGGATGAAAAAAAATGAAGGAAACGTTAATATAATGTGTCTTAATGGAAATTTCTTCATGCAACTGCAGAACAGATGGATGACGTAATCAAAGGAACGAGTTAAAGGCAGAAAAATTCATTAAAAAAATTTTTCTCCTCGTTAATATAATGCTCGATTTCAAAGGTTAATTGCGTGAGTTTTCATTTCATGGTACTTACCGATAGCTTTATGCATTTCTGGAATTTTGGAAAAGCTAGCAATTTCGGAAACATATATGGTGTCGAAAATTCGAATTTTACAAATTTCCAAAGCCAATAACTGGAGAGGTAAACTGACGAAATCAACCAAGAGCATCATTCAAAAATTTTTGACTCATTTATGGAGAAAAAAACTTACTAAATTAAAAATTTATGACATTTTACGCTGACTCTAACATAACAAGATAGGATAAGTGTAACGGCTATTAAAGTAATTTAAATTCTACGTTTTGTTAAAAAAAAATGTTCTATTTATCCTGATTAAATTAATTTAGTCCCTCCAAAAATTTCTACTTAAATATTTATGATTTTTGAACCATCCTAATCAACTGCACTTCACAAAATAATTTCGATAGTTGATCGTAACATTAAACAAAAATAATTGAAATTTTTAATTATCAATATTAAAGCAAAATATGCACATACCGTGGAATTCAATTTTGTTAGTGAAAAATATTCAAATATTAAAAGTGGAAAATTTAACATTGAAATGAACTCAGAAAATTGCTAATGAAAATTCAAAATATAAAATTAAATTTTTATATTTTTCATTAAAAAACAAGAAAATAAAAAAATACCAATATAAAAATTGAATATTATTTTGGAAAATTAACAACTGCACTCAGTGTACTTTAGTTGTTCTATACTATAACAATAGTTTGAGTGTTTAGTGCTTTAAGTATAATATGTGTGCACTTTGTTCAATGTCGAAAAAGATCGAAAATTAAAATTGATTTTTCATTATTTTTAATATATATATATATATATATTTTAAAATATTTTGAAATAGTTTTATTTATAAAAATTTTTTTAATTATAATTGAAAGTCTACCATTTTTAGTAAAAAAATTAAATTTTAATTTTGTAGAAATTTAAAATTGATTTTGGAAAATTTTGAAAATCGTAATAGACTTTTTAATAATGTATAACTCAAATTGAAAATTATAAATAAAATAAAATTTATTTTGTTTGTGTGTGTCTGAATTTGTATTTCAGTAAAATTATCATAAATATTCAGTATAGCAGTCAAATTATTTTAAATTACATTGAAAGGATTTAATATTAAATTGAAATAGTTCTTAAATAAGAATTTTAAACCAGAAAAAAATTTAATAACGTAAACGACACTGATACAATCAAAATCATCTGTATTAGAATTAAAAAATAAATAATTCTAATAATTTGAATATACTGAAAATCTAGTTTCATTTATGCGATTGTAATAAGTATGTATAGAGGGGTATACCTTAAACATCCATTGGAAATATTGGAAAAATAAGACTGCTAAAGAAAAATTTAAACTCTACAAATCAGACACTCACCTATAGCAGCTGAACAATTAACTTCAAATTAATTTTTAAATATGTGCTCATATGTAGGTCAAATGAATTAAATACTTTTCAATGATACTGTAATCAGCATAACATACCAAATTCAGATATGTTTTTGTGAATATAACAAAAATTCTTTAATGATAAAATAAAAATTAGCATAGAAGTAGTTCTCCTCTTGGATATTATAGCCAGCTAGGACTTATTGTACCAAATAAATTACTTTTATATACAGAACATTTGTTACCTCGAACTACTATTACAAATTAATTCACAGTATTACCTTTCCTTTATTTCCTAAACAATAATTTACAATGTAGTTTCCATAACCAGAAACCAGAAACAAACCTATATTTTATCGATTATTAAGATATTAAAATATAGGTATATATATAAATATTAAGATATTCGAAACTAACAATAATCATTTCAATATTAAAATTAATACCATTACTTTTATGAAATTCCCAAGGATATCTTATAATGCTCAATGTTTCTTATACATATTAAATTCAAATCAAGTAACGAGAATCAAACAAAAACTCTATTGCTACAACTCTTCATTTTCTATTTAACCTACAAAATTCTTTTCTATATACATAGACATTTTTTCTTTTAATAACAGGCATCGTTTACAAGACGCATTTTTTGATAATTCAAGAAATATCAACAATTTCATTAACTACTACATGATATTCCATATCCATATATGTATAACATTACATTCCAATATTGTTATAATTTACAATGTTATTTATTACTTATCTATTATTATGGTAGTCTACTTTAAATTTTTTGAAGCATGGACAAAAAACAACCTCCTCAAATTTCAAATAAAACTATACTTATAAATACTTATAATTTTTTTTCAATAAATACCAGGTTTTGAATTAAATATTTCTTCAATATATGTATATACGACACAAGACAGCTGAACAATATTATATGAGATTCGAGTCATTCATAAAAAATGATTGGAATTTCAATGACGTAATATTATTGTAGCATACCGTGAATTCCAGAAATACCATATAATAATAACCTATTATATACAAAATATATATATATAATATATGTGATTTGAAACTGATATGTATATGGGTATACCATACATAGCATATAATTAATTTTTGTAAGAGGACAAAGTGTTTCATTTTAAACTGTTGAAAAACTTACACATTTTTACTCTGTGTTTTCTAGGAACTGTTCTGTTGACAATTTTTTCCCATTAGCAACTTTGTATGCTATATTTGCATAAGTTTTTGATTTTCTTTAATATTATTCTGTTTTGTTTTCATCATTAGTTCGGACACTTCATGGAATGCTTTGTCTTTCATTAAAAGCTCTTCTTTTTCTAAGTGATCCAGGGGCTTGTAATTGTAACTGGCTATATTTCAAACATTACTACAGTAATATTGTTGTGTTGAATTTTGAATTTTAACATTATTTAGAACCAAACTGCTCTGCCATTCCATGCTTATTCTTTCTTGAGCTTTGTTTTTTACTTTTTCAATAGCATAGGGAGCTATTAATTCAAAATTCCTGTTAAATGAAGCATCTTGTACGATTTTGTATATGAAAAATATTTTTTTTTTTTTGAAAAAAAATAATTATGTTAAACCAATTTTCGAGATTTGAATGCAAATTTTCTATAATTTTTTCTTCTGTTTAGCTTTTTGTTTGTATTTTTAAAATTTTTTACATGGCATAACTAGATTTTAACCACAGTTGACTTATTTTTATAGTTTTTGTTTACTTTGATTGTTTTTTTTTTATTGAATTTTTCCGTTTTCTAGTTTTTTCTTATTTTCAAATATTTTTCCTACTTTGAAATATTACAAAATTAAGAAATCTATGATCTTAAAATATTGTACTATTATAGTTTAGCTTGAATGTAAATTGTTATATACACATATTATGTTAATATAGTGCTGACGGACATAACTTGTAACGGCCCTCACTAAAGTATGCAGCTTAAAAGAAGTGATTTTTTAAAAATGTGTTTTAATACACTTTGTTATTAATTAATCAAACTAATGCCAAGTCAACCAAAAAGAATGTAAAAAAAAAAAATAATAGTGCTATTAATAAATATATTTACTGACTCCCGACGAGGAGGCAAATTCTTTTAAAATATATACATTTTATTACATTGCGAGAAGAAATAAAGTAGTAAAATCACTTTGCCAAAGCTTTTGCCAAATTTCTGTATCGAAACTCGTAAATTACGAGTAAATAAAATAATGTTTGCCTACCTCTGACTACCTCTGACATAATATGTACATACATTGATACACATAACATAACATAATTATGATAGGTCATAATACTTATAGTATATCAGTATGTGTGTGAATATGAAATATGATAATGTTAACAAAACGAAAAGAAAATTATTTACTTAATGAAAGAGAAGAAACTGAAAATTTCAAAGTTAATATATTGAGAAGCTCGAAAATGACTATTTAAAATAGAAAAAAATGTGAACGATGTACATATAAAAATTCCACTTTATATGCTTATTTAATATACAAATGAATTTGAATAAGTAACTTTGTGTATACGTTCGTAACTAGATACTTGAAAATTTGTAGCATATTTTATATTTATGAATTGTGAATCGGCTGTGGTATATTATGAGAATATGTCCATTAAAATATACAAGAACTGAGCAAAAGGCTAAAGGATTTTATCAAATCGGCTGTTATTATAGAGAAATCAAATTTTTAAAGAAATTGTCCAATAATGAAGGCATATAGTGTTAAAATTGTAAAATGGTAAGATTGGCGCCCGAAGATGGTCCATATTAAATTCATATTGTTTGCAGTTATTTTGAAGACAATAATAATTTTTCTCGATTTTCTTATGATTGCAACTGAAATTATAGCTCTAGTTTCCATATTACCGCATTACAACTTAAGATATTTGCCACATTTTCAATAATACAACAGCAATACGTAATATAATTTAGTATATAGGAAGAGATTAAATAAAAATATTCAAAAAAAAATAAAAAGCGAAGTTTTTACATTTTATTAATGAAAATAAAAACAAAAGAAAATATAACAATAGCATTGGTACATCTTGAGTTTTATTTTAAAATTTTGTACAAATTTTTGGGTGGTCTTAAAAAAAAAAGCATTTTACATTTTTCTTTATGAAAATTTTTTTTTTTTTTGTCAATAATTTATTACGTATGCACATTTTTGAATATTTACATGTAAAATTAATAATGCATAACCAAGTATTTTTGTATTGCAGTACCATTGGTACTTGAGAAATTTTTCATGCATCGAAAAATTTAAGAATAAAATCATTTTCAATAAATTGTTTGCAATACATTTTTGCTTGTTTTTAAGAAATATACTAACTATGTGGAGTATAAAAGAGGAAAAGTATGTGGAGCTCAAAACACAATAATAAGGTTTATTAAAAAATGACCCAGTCGAACATGAAACATTTGAAATTCTCAATAAAAATTCAAGAATAGAATTTAGAACTTAATTGCAACATATAGCACACTCTATTATAAAATAAATTTAATTTTATCATAAAAAATTTTTACTTTAAAAATAAATTATTTATAAATGGCAAAAATATTTAAAATAAACAAACTACATTTAGTATTTCCATATATTTTTAACATATGTACGATACATATACATATACTTACAATTAGTAACCCACTATACACTTACAAAAATATGCTTGAATATGTAAAATCCAATTACATATACATTAATATATTTTTGACCTTCACTCATCTCTCTTCTCATCAAACCAATATAACAATTCTGATTATAATTAAAAATGTATGCATGATGCAAAAAAAAAAATTATGATTTAAAAGCATTAACAAGGACTTTATGTGGTTGGAAAATATTTATAAATAAAATTCATATATGAATATGTAAATAACTACGTGTAAACATAGTAATCCTGTATGTTACATCAATTTTTAAAATTTAGCGCTTCATAATCATTGCATATAATTTATAAAAATGACTGTAAATCTGATAAAATACGTATATAATTATGAAATTTAACATGTTTGTATATAATATGTATGTATATGTTCCAGTTTAAATGTAATTATTATTATATAATACCTGATTATTATCTGAGATTTCATTAATTGTACAATATTTATTATAAGAATGAAATTATTTTACTTCAATTTTTGTGCCATACTAAGGCAAAACTGTTCTAAGTTCCAAATTATGGTTTCGAATAAATATAAATTTTGAAAATTTAATACACATTTTCCAAAAATTTGAAACACTCAAACAAAGTAAACCGTGTTGAAGGATTTTCAGTCAATATTTTTAGTACATTTGCAACCAATTTTGAAAAATGTACTAACCATTTTCTACTAACAGTTTGTACATAAAATTCTTTTAAATTTAATGATTCTGAAAATGATGCTTAATTTAAAAGTAAATAATTAAATCTAATTTTTAAAGGGTGAATTTTTTTCTCAATATAATTTGATCACCTTAGAGTTGCCGGAATTCAACGAAATTTCACTGGTTTATAGATTTTTATATAGATAATTTAAATATGCTTAAAACTAAATTTTAAGCAAAATCAACTTAAGCAGTTTTGTCTCATAGCACCATATTTATTAATTTTTAATACACATTCTCATATTTAATAATTTAACTTATATACTTATATACGTAATAGAAATATTATATTATATACAATGCAAATTACCCAACTGTTATATTACTACCATTATTACTAATACTACTAACATTATTAATATTTTGATTTAAATTATTATTACCATAAAAATCTTGTATTAAATTATTAGCAATTAATGTACCACGAAATGCCATTTTAAATTGTATTAATACTAATAAATATATTGCAATTGTTGTTATCGATGATGTTAATAATTCATGATTAACATTTGCATATCCTTTTAAACTAACAACAGCTGGATTCATTTCAATTGCCAATATAAATAAATCAATTTCTTTTTTTGTTTGTAAATCAACTTTACTTAAATCAATTGATAATAATGTATCTTGTACACCTTTATCAACTTTTAATGTTGCATTATGCGAACAATTACAAAATATAAATAATAATATACTACAATAGCCAGCATTAACAATTAAACCTAATTCCTTAAATGAAAATGAAAAACCATTATCTAAAATTTTTGATAAAGTTGCATATATTGCTATTGTTATATTAACAAACATAAATAAACAATATGTTGCATATGTTCTTGCATATGCATTACCCAATGATTGTAATAATTCACTTAAATTTAACCATAAAAAACGATATCTTGATACACAATTATAACTACAATTAAAATCTGTATCAATTTTAAAACAATCAGATAAACTAATTGCTGCTGTTTTAATTGCTCTTGAATTAATATACCATAAGGCACAATTCATATTTATCATTGTTATTATATGATAATATGCTAATGTATTCCATAATGGAAAACCTTCTAATAAATATGATAATGAACCTAAAAATAATATTGAACATAATAGACAACCAATTGATATTATAACAATTAATAATTTTAAATTTGGAAATTGTAATGTTGTACCGGTGACACGATAAAAACGTACTTGAAATGCACCCCACATTGTTTTATATATAGCAACTTCTTTAGCAACACCCCAACCAACAAATGGTACCCAAAAATGTGGTACTAAAAATATTAAAAATATTACTGAATATATATAATCATCGAATCCTTTAACTGTTTCTAATTGTTTAATACGATGATAACCAATAAATAATACAACACCAGTCATAAATGTCCAAAAAAATATTGCATATATTGATGCTATCGATGTCCATTTAAATGTTATACGACCAGGTGATGAACGTAATATTGGCATTACAGCTAATGCTCTAAATAATACCAATAATAATTTATGATCTCTATAAAATTGATCATAATGTTCGGCAACATCACCATCTCTTGAATTTAAATCACGATTAAATACTAATTTCTCTTCTAATTCTTCTAATATTTCCGGGTATAATAAATTTTTTAATTTTGAAAATTTTTCTGATGATTCTTGATTTTTTTCAAAATTTTCATAATTTGGAAATTCTTTTTTATAATATTCACGGCCAGGTGTCTTATGTGGTTCCCAATCTGTATAAAATATTTCCATTTTATTTTTTGTTTTTCAATTTCTTTTTTGTATGTCCTTAAAGCGCGATTGCTTAAAGTCACGTTTCTTAAAAGATTCAATTTAAAACAAATTCAATATTCGAATTGTTTAACCTATTTATATTGGAAAAATTAATGATGAATTTTAATGACTATTTTGCGATAACCCAACTATACAAGAAAATATTAAATTCATAAAATATTTAATAATGGAAAATCAATTAAAATCTTTATTATACAGAGGGAAAACGAGACAGTCGCGTGTAAGACAATAAGGATTACAAAATGTAGTTATTAAAATAATAAATTTTAAAAACTTTTACAAAAACTTCTTTTTTTTATGGTTTACTTAAGAAATGTGTCGACAGTTTATTCAATTAAAAAAATTATTACGTTTTGTTATTGGTTTTTAAAGTTCTTTTATACGAATTTCGTAAATGTATTCAAGGACACAAAATATTGGAAAAATGAAGAAGTTTTTAATATTAAATTTCATTCTAGTAATAATATTTAATATGATTTAATCATCATTGTAAAGCATTTAGAAAAGGTTTAATAAATATGTAATATATAGGCCAAGAGTAACACTAAATATACATTCAAATGTTTTCTATAGCAACCGATAGATAATAATGCAAGTAATTAGTGTATAGGTTAGTTGTATCACAGTTATAATAGTTATATAGTTAGTGTATAATAGATTTTTGCTTAATGCTCTACAATATTAACACAGATTCATGTTTACATCGAACACATTTTCTTTAACAAATTATTCAGCGCGAAAAATGGTTGGTATTAGAGAGTAAACTGAAGGATATTTGAATAATACTTATAGGAGCTATTAGAATTATGTATAATTTTCACTTTAAATTAAAATAATTTACAATAAATTCTCTAAAACTCTTTGCTGTATAATACATTTGAAATGATAAGATTTTGTTCAATATTTCTATAATTTCCTATTCAATAATATTTCACTGGAATTGTTTTAAACTCTTTTTAATTTTAGCATAAATTTTAATCAAAGCATATAAAAACCATAAACATAAAATACAATTACATTACTTATTTTGGTGAACAATGTTCTAATTTTAATTTTAATACTATCAGAAATAATTAATATCGACATGTTGAACAGTATAATTTTAAGGTATTCTTCGTAATTTCATACTCTCTGAAGTAAAAGAAAAATTGCATACTTTTAGGGCTCTAATCTAAAATTTGTGAAATTCTTTGCGCACAAAATTAGTATAACAATAAACTTTATAAAACAATATGTAAAATAATATTTCTAAAGGAGTTTCATCTAAAATTTCTTTAAAGAAGAAAATTAATATTTTATACTGAATAATGATAAGATCAACTATTGCTATTCTTCAATTTGAATATAAAAATAGAAAAAATAATTTTGATAATTACAATTATTAAAACAATTTTCAATTTTCATTTAATTATTTGGCAAGTAAATTAAAAATAATTAATTGCAGAACTTGGAAAAATATTATAATATTTTTTTTTACAATTATTATTTACACAACTCTTATTATTTAATTTGGGTTACTACAGAAAATATTCATTTTGATAAAGATAAAATTTAAATTTAAATTTCATTATAAAACTACTTTTTTTTCATTATTTTGAACCAAAGGAGTAAAAATCTAATTTTTTAATTAAATTTAATGAATTTATTTGTTTATATTTCTGTTAAATTTAATAATATTTAATTATTAATTGGAAAAATATAATTAAATTAAAATATTGCAAGAACCACAAAACAATTATTAAATAAAATAAAATTATTTTTTCTTTTATTTTTTAATTTAATTATATTTTCCCTTATTCATTACCTAAATGGGAATTATTTTATATAAAAAATATATGTGTATACCTACATACACTCATACAAATCCGGAATAAATGTAACCTAAATATTTTTTTTTTGTAAAAACAAACAATAGGAAAATCACCTAACCTTAATTTAAAAACTTTTCTCTCTTACCGTCTTATTTTTTTTTCTCCATTGTATTTTTCTCATTTTTAACTTACTACATACATATAAATATATATTTACATATTAATTTAATTACCTCAAAATTGCTATAAAATGCAAATAAACTAATTTATCTTATTTGTCTATGGCAAAAAAAAAATAACCATATCTGTTTTAATTTTTTATAATTTACCACCAAAACCATATAAAATATATTTGTTGTATATCTACAACACAACAAATACAGGGTGTACGAAAATTTGTCTTCTACTTTAAAAAAAAACAAAAAAGTGCGATTGTGGGGAATTTATACGAATATTGAATGAGATTTGGAATAAAACGGAATTAATCAACTAAAAACAGCCGCAGTAGCTTGTTTAAAGGCAGTTATCTCGTTTTCGTAATAATATCGTAAATTTTTTAAATATTATTTTTGCGATATCGTATATTTAAATTTCATAAACACTAGAAAAAAAAAATAAAAAATTAACATTTGAGTTAAGAGGAAAACATCAGTTAGCTTAAATAATCTCTGAGTCTATTAAATTTTTTAATAATAATTCAAATTTTTGTTACTCAATTATTCACCTTTAGGTAATTATGTGTTTCTGCACGTGATTCCACTTAAATGAGTGGTAAAATGTGTTTAGTATCAAATAAAACTGAATTGTCAATTATGCAACCCCTTACTTTAGTCTCTTTAGATTGAACGTAAATTGAGTAAATTCGGTATAAAAATAATACGTAATATTTAAACTGCATACATGTGCGCCATATCCAAATATGTACAATAACATAGTCACATTTGGAAATTAACGCAGTAAGTAAAAATTATTTTAAAAATTTGAGTTTTAAAAGTTTAAATTGCTCGAACACATTATTATATTATATAAACGTCAAACGTCAAACTAAATCAGAATAACACACATGCAATTCATTTATCGTATTTCATTATTTCATTTAATATTTAAATTAATGTACAATTATTTACGTACAACACAATATATAAAAATTTAATAACATAATAATAATTATGTAAAAATAATTCTTTAATAATTTAATTACCAATTTCTTATTCTCATACCACTTAAAATCGAAATAATTTGCGTTCATAAGGGAAAATCTAATGAAAGAGAAACTTCTATTCATTTAATTAAAATATAGTGAAATTTATATTTAATGTATATAATATACACAAACGTAATATACATATAAACACATATAGAAAAAAATATAATATTAAATAAAGATTATAATTAATTCACTCTTTCTCTGTCATCATTTATAACTTTCCTAAAAAAAAAAAATAAAATAACAAAACCACAATAAACTTAAATGGTAAGTCCCTAACCACATAAACAATATAAAAAACCAAAAAATTCTTATGATGAAGAACAAAAAACAAACCATTTTGTTCATCTGGTCCATCAAAGAACCGAAAATCATAGTAAGTTTACGAAAAAATCAAAATATAATAAAAAGGAAAATGCTTTAAAGTTTAATACAGCAAATAAAGATAAAAAAAATAAATAAATAAATAATCAAAACAAAAGCATATAATCACAAATGAAAACAATAGAAACTGAAGAAGATAATAAGATGAATGAAAGAAGATGAATGTTTACAGAGTTTACAGCATATACACGACATAACCATCGTCATCATCATCATCATCCACAAATTTTATTATTTTATAGCTAATAAAGTAACAAGAATACAAAAGAAACACAATACTCTCATAATCAAAAATCAGAAAGAGAACAACAACAGCAGTAACAACAACAACAACGCAAACAACTATAAAATGAGAATTATAAAATCATAATAAAATTATTACTATTATTCACCGCCAGGGTAATCTAATCTTCTCTTCTTCTTTCCTTATTTCTTTCTTATTCTTTCTTTTTGCGTTTTATTTTAATTTTTAATAATTTTTTTTGTTTTTTTTTTCTTGTATTTTTTTATCTGCAGTGTAAATCATATTTTTTGAATTCAGTATTATTATTGTATTTATATTTATGTGGCGACTTAATAGACAATGTTCTACTAAATTAGGTTTTTATAAATATGTACATATATACAAACAAAATTAGATATACATACATATATACGATATATATATATATATATATATATTCTGTTTTGAAATGGTAAATTTAATGGAAGCACTCTTTTTATGATTTCAGATAAGTTTTAGGATAATTTTAGCAGAAAATAACTTAAATATTAAAATAATATACGGAAATATCTTACAATTAAACAATAGAAGTCGCACGAATTATACTTTCATGCAAAAGTATACCGTAATATTTATACATCTTTATCTGTCAAATTATGACCTTCATCCGTTAAATTATTTAGTGTACACTTACTTTATAACAAATATATAAAAATAATGATCTATATTCAGCTGTCAAATTATCGCATCAGTCAAATTTTGGTCTTCGTTAACTCCTGTCATACTGCTACTTATTAGGGACATGAGAAATTTTCCCTATTGTATGTGTTTCTCTCCCCATAAACTATTTATAGCTTTTAGATTATTGAATTCAATAATTTATTAAAATTAAATATTCTCAGAGAAAAAATCAAAAAATTGCATATTTATGGGAGTATTTTAATAAAAAAGATCGAATAACTGCAGAAAAACGATGTTTTTCGAAACTTTTTGGTTGTTTTTCGTTATTATAAATATTTTTAAATATAATAATGCCCACACACACTACTCAATTATTACATTTTTAAAAAGATTTTCCTCGATTTTTCAAAATCAAATCATTATTCAGAAAACATTTTATAAAAATTTATCTGCATAAAAATATGAGCTAAAAATTTTTAAAAACTTTCTTAAGAAGATTTTAATA